TATTTATAACTTTGTAAAGTTAAATTTAATTTAAACAAATAACAAGATTTCTAATTACTATTATCAAATATTTATAGCATAAATACATCCCAACTAGGTTGATACCTACTTTTATTATAATTTATAGTTTAAATACATCCCAACTAGATTGACACCTACTTAAGTCTTAAGTCTTAACTATAATTTAGTATTAACTCTCCCCCCTTTTTTTCAAATTAAAAAAAAAAAAAAAAATTCACGGGCCAACGGGTTAACCCAGCCCATGAACGTGCAACCCGCGAAGCCCGCGGGTCACACCTCCTTAACCCGTGAACCGCCCGCTCGGGTCACGAGTCGACCTGCAGTCCCGGGTCGATCCGGGCCCGTTTTCACGAGTCTGGTCAGCCCGTCCATCTTGACACCTCTAGTCTCAATCTGGTCCAATAAACATTAATTCGTCTTGAAAACTGAAGTGTGACTAAGAATTTTAATGAAAATAACTCGATCTCTTCAATGTAATGGGGCTGTTTAGTTTCAAGGGTTTAAGCTATTACTTGAATTTTTGAAATTCAAATGTGATTTCAATATATGTCTGTTGACTACAAAGTTAGAGCTATTTTCCTTCTTTATTAATTGTTTGTTTATAATGAGAAAACAGTTGCGAAACGTTTGGTAAGGCTGTATTTGTATTATTGACGAGTAAAATCTAATACTGCTTAAGAAACATACTCTTGGTTTCAATAATAAGGTACAAAAGTTACTTGCCTCGAGTTTTTATCCTTTCATTTAGGCAACCCAAATTCTACTCTACAATATTAATTAATCTTCGATGAACGTTGTAGTTTTAATTTTATTTGTATATGTGGATTGATTTATTTCTTCTTTACTTGGATAGATTAACTGGGAAGATGAGGATCAGATCAGTGAACTGCCTGATTGTGTCATGGGATACATAGTTTCGCTATTAAGCATAAAGGATGCTGTGAAAACTAGCGCACTTTCGCGTAGATGAAGAAACCTTTGTACTCATAGGATCTTCATAGATATTGATTTTATTAACATGTTAAATCAAGTGAAGCAAGATTGACAATGAAAAGGTGGAAGAAACAAAGAGGTGGGAACTTGTTCGGAGAGCTGATCATGCCATTCGACTATTCCATGGAAAAAATATAACTTCTTTGGAGGTGGCTTTGCATATGCATACAAGATATTCATCTTATATTGACAAATGGATTGATGTTGCAATTAAATCCGGGGGTGAAAAAATTAAACTTGCTCTCTCACCAAGGCTGAAATTCATTGATATTTATACAACAAAAGAAGCACCTTGATCACAATTTTCCATATTTTCTTTTCTCCAAAGAAATAAGCAAAGTTCCATCATTGAGTGACAAATGGAAAATTTATGGAGAGTTACAATCCCTACCATGGAATAGTACACCTACACGCCTTCATTTGTGCCTTTATAAAATATTAACAATGTGGTCAAAGTTAAACTTTTGGTTAACTAACGGAATTATGGATGGAAACCGTCCAAAAGGGCTTTTCCTGCAACATTTGGAAATGTTAGGGATGACGGCTGCAACAAATTAAAGGTTTTGGAAAAGTCTGCTAATATTTCAAAGGTTCGAGGCTTTTACTGCAATTATACCTATTAATTTAATGGATAGATTATGAAGAATTTAGATATTAAACATTTGTTTGAGCCCTTTTTTGGGTATAATAGATTTTGGAATAGTAATTTTTTGAAAAATATGCGGTTAAAAAGTATAAAAAAAATTTAAATTTATGTTCGAGTATTTTATTGTATAAATGTGTGATTGAAAATGAGTTTAAAAAATTCATTTTGAAAAATTGGGGATCAAACCATGGCTAACTAAGTATAATTTGATTACTTGTATAATTAGACAACTCATTTGAATGGTTTAATAAGTCGGACAACTTAACCTAATGAATTGAATTGGCTAGGAATCGAAAGCTTCAGTTCAAGTACAGTTCCATACTTAGAAATGGAACCAATGATTCTATTTTTAAAATATTCTTTAGTACTCAGTTATTTTTAGAGTCGAACCATGTCTGCTCATAATTCTAGCTCAACTCCCCCACCAAGAGAAGATTGATAGGATATTTATATATGCACTTGGTAGGACTATACCATTTAGATTACGACCCCTCAACATTGAGTCACTCAAATCGTGACACATTAACGTTGCACACCTATTTTGTTTCTTCATCTTACTACCTCGAACACCGAAGTATTACAATTTAAATGGTTTGAGATATGAATGTTGTGATTTAAAAGGATGATACTACCATATGCGCATGTAAGATCGACCCTTACAGGAAAGCTTTTTTCCACACCTCATCTTTTCGATTATTATAGATACAAATAAGTATGTACATCCACGACCAACCACCTCACTATTTTCCCTCCACGAAAACCATATCCCACATCCCATTAGAAACTCGAATTCAAAGAAATCACATTTTTGAATTTTAAAAATAAATTTATTTTTTTTCCAACTAATGGCACATTTTTCTTTTCGATTTCGATCCATACACTTATTTCGATTTTTTGCATGTTGATCTAATTCAAGCGAGTTTATATTTGATTGGGATTTCTTCAATTTTATTTGATAGATCTTTAAAGAAAATCAGTCGATATTTTCGACAAAGAAGACATCAAAATTAGCTGCGGCAACCTAGTACACCTATCGGATAAGTGAATTGATCGGCCACTACTTCCAATCCCCAATAACTTAGTTACTCTTCATTATAGGTGATAATTACCACTTAGCTTCGTTTCTAGTTAAATTGTGGGGTTTTTGCTTTGTTTTCAACGGTATTAGTAGGACTTGGGAGATCGGTAAGTAGAAGATTAAGCGGTAAAAGTGGTGTTAGTTGGCCTGCGGTCCAGTTGAAGAAACAGATTTTTCTTTGTTTTTTCTTCGTTTTATTTTTAATTGGGTTAAGTGAATGGTCAACTTTGTCCTTCATTAAAGGTAGGAGTTGTGCTGGTCTTCTTACGAATTAAAGGCTGTTTTAGACAGAATTTGTTAGCAGGCCCTTGATCTGCTTTCTAAAAAGCCGGATAGAAACCAGACAAAAAAACAAAAGGTTCTGGACAAGTGGCTACTTTGGCCAAAGGTTGAGGACTAACATTGTAATTTATCCGAAATTTAATAAACATCCTGTCCCCAAATTGTTAAATAGCAATTTCTTCATAAGTTAAATGTTTCATTAGTCACTGCACTTTGTATCATGTCACGGATTACTTACTGGACTTTCAAACTTGTCCCACTAGCCACTGAACTTCAATCTGTTACCCATCACTCACCGGCTAAAATTTGTTAAGTGACGTAGGCACGTGGCAGACGGAAAGTCTAGCTGGCCAGTTAAATCAGTCCAAGTGTTTAGTGTTTTTCAATCAGCATTCACGTCAGCCTGTATAAACACGCCTTTGCCATTATCATTCACGCCTTTCTTTCACTTTCATTAACCCCCAATTTCATTTCATTTCCTCTCCTGCAATCTGCTCACACCCAATACGAGATTGAAACCCTAAATCCCCCAAATCAAAACCAAGCCAACAATCGAAATCGAAACCACTTATTCCCTTGAGCCCGAAATCAAGAACTTTACTCAAACAAGGCCCATCCCACCTTTGTTGATTGTTAAAAGAGCCCAACCAAACGTGAAGAAGCCGTACCCATTTCACTTCTGTAGGTCGAGCTAATGGAGGGCAAACGTGAACGTAATTTCCCGACTTTTTTTTTGTGTTTTTTGGGTGTGATGAGTTCAGAGATGTGCTAAAAATTACATATATAAATTTGTTTTATGTTGAAGCGGTACCCATTTCACTTATGTGATTTTATGCTTTTATGATTATTTTGTTATTCATCATTCATATGTTTCTGTTCTTTTATTCTTTGTGTACTTTTTTTTTTATGTTTGTTCGATCGTTATTCGTATGTCTGGATTGTCGTCATCAAACTATGAACTACCTAATTACGTACAATTGTCCTGCCTTTTGTTTAAAGTATTGTCTTAGCAATGGACACATTAAGTGGTACATCCAGTGTTCGTCCGATGAGGATGTCAGGTATTATTTTCCTGAATTCTCATTCGATGAGGACATGAAAGAGTCGAGGCTGGATGCACCTAATTCTTTGAGTACGATATTTTGTATCTATACCTCTTTGTTCGATGACTGACTTACAACGTTGATTTTTTGTTTATATGATTGGTTTGAAGGCAATTTAGAACCAGTTGGCTCACATCGTAATACAGCGGTGGATGAAAGAGTGAGAAAATGATTGCTTTTTTTTTTTTTTTTCAAATGTGCATCGTTGTTAGGACATGATAATTATGTGATGTATGCATTTTTGCAGAGTAAACTAGTGGCAGACCGGGGGCAGCGAACATCGACGGATGACAACCCTACCCACGAACAAACTTGCCATTTCATTCCAACCCCCCCGATGGTGCCAAAGTGAAGCATGGTCAAGTGGACTGAAAACTGGACCAACAACAATGATGTGTACCCAATCAGTTTTTGTAGATGTTTTGACCGATGATGTGAACCTTGACGATGCCATGGATGACTTGAATAACTTGGGGGACGCAAAATCTGCAACTATGAGAGCTTGAGGGCACGAAAACAACGTCGCACAAAGCACAGTACATAAACTGGAAAGGAGGATAGGACCTGTGCCTTTGTTGCAGTGAAGTAGGCATATACCTTAGAAGAACTCGAAGCAGCCACCAGTATAAAGTGGATGGAGGACTGGCTTCTGTTTTGGATTGCATTTGAATCATGAATTTGTCTACTGATTTCATTTTGGATTGTAAATTGAAAGGGTGGTGCTAGGAGTACAGGATAAAACTTACAGGAACATTACAGGATTTTAAAAACTTACCACATGGCAGCTAAAAAAAGGAAAACAAAAGTAAAAAGAGAATGAAAAGAGGAAAAAGCGTGAGACACTGAGACCTAATACTTCAAATCAAAATTTTCCTCCTCCTTCTCTCCTCAACTCTCTCGTGGAAATTGGAATACCGGCGACGGGACGGTGACGACGATATATCCGGCCGTAGCATTCTGTTGAAACCGACGAGAGGCCAGTATTTGGAGTCGATCTCGGGCCTTGGAAATCTTCTCGTCTGGCGACCATTTTTGAAGTCAACCATTATGAGTTGGATTTTCAGTTTTGTTGAAAGTTGTCCATTTCTGAGCTCTATTTTGTCAAATTTTTGAATGCCCGAGAAGATGGTGGCAGTTGTTAATGACCTGAAGATGATGGTTTTGTTCATATTTTGCAGCTGGAGCTGTTATTTGCTCTTGGGGAAGGGGAGAAGATGGACAGTTCTGTTTGCTCACTGGAAGGAAACATTGTTGCTTTATTTTTTACTGTATTTTTTGTTCTATGAGCTATGTGATATCTTCGAGAAGCAGATTTTGTAGTTGAATGCTATACTGGGTCAGTTAGCAACTTTTTACATTTGATCAAAAGTTGGCTTTAAAATCCAACACATTACCTTTCTGTTTTTCAAAGAGATTTGTTTGTCCAGCACCTAATGAATTTTTTAAGTGAATTTCTGTTTTGAAGTTGAGCATTTATTTCTGTTGCAAGAACAATTGTATTACTTCATAAACAAGCAGGCCATCAAAGAGTATAACCCTTTTTTTTCCTAATCAAACCAATTTCATTAACAAAACCTCATTAACACGAGTGAATTTGTACAACTTTAATGATACAAACACATACCTCAAAGTGACAATATTTGTACATACAGATCAAAAAAACTCAATTTTCACTTCCCACATTGAATTACAATGATTACTGGTATAGAGCTTCAAGCATGAAAACAACAGAAAAAAATTAACTGCTATTACGAAGTCTGTCATTTGCCTCTCTTCCTCTTCGGAGTCTGTCATTTGCCTCTCTTCCTCTTCGGCAATCCAGCACAATCGGAACAATACCACTTCCCTTTGGGTTGTTCTTTGAGGCCAACACAGGCATGGTGGAACCACTCTATCTTGCATTGTTGAAACATCATTTGGTCTCTTTTTACAATTCGACACATAATAACCCTTCTTCATTACAATTCTGTTGAAAATATTCTACCATTTGGATAATTTCTTCTGTTGATTCTTCAAAAAATATCGATCATTCCGTTTGCAAAAATAAGCAACTTCTAACAGTCAAAGGTAGTTATCTTATATCTAGGGGAAAAAATCCAATAACAAGTTTCAAATATGCTGGAAAAAAATCCGATTTCTACTTTGGACTTCAACCATGCTGGAAAATGTTACCTTGTTCATTTCCGGTCCACAAAAAGGGGAAAATGGGAGCTCGACGGAGTTCAATCTGGGATTACTGATGAGGTACATTCTTGTTCAACTGTCCAAGTGCAGTTCAATCCACAATGAATGGCAGAAACAACCAAAGCACAATAACGGGGGACAAGCTCAGTATTCCACCACTCTTTTGAGTTCAACGGGCATAAATAACGCTTCTTTCGCAACAGAGGGCTTCTGGTCCGAAAATGCCGGGATGTATTTATTACAGAGAAGATGAAAATAGAGAGAAAGCTTTTATTAAGCTGATTCAATGATACAGAGATGTTGAGACACTATAAATACAGAGCCAAGAGAGAAAGAAAGGCGGGAAACAAAAATAGGCGGGAAAATTAGTTATAACCAAACTAAAATATCTTCTTGATGACTAAGCTCCTGCACGTGTCTAGCAACTAATTAAGAACCGAAGTTAGCTGAGCAGATAAAGGTTTTGATA